GGAGCCCGATGCGGGGCTCGATCCCAGGACCCTGGGATCATGACCTGAGCCGAAGGCAGACACTTAACGACTGAGCCACCCAGGTGCCCCGAAAAGTGAGCTTTTATACCACAGGCCATTGCATTATGTGGACTCAGGAGACAGACGGCTGTCACCTTGACAACCTAATCTGTTCATGCCTAGTTTCCTCATTTATAAAACAAGAACAGTAATAGTACCAGTTTTACAAAGTTCTGTGAGGATTTAATGAGTTAATAAATTAAGTCTTTAGAACCGGGCCTGACACATAGAAAGTGCGATATTATAGGGGTGGTAATGGGTCTTCATTTTTCCAGGAAAAACAATCTAGCATTAGCATATCATTTAACAATATTGTATAGAACTTTAAAGTTTCTGTATTGCTCAAATCCATCCAAATAAGTATGTTTATAAATTACATGCTTACGCTTTTGGTGGTAATGCTGTATTTTTAACAGTACACCTGAGAAATCACATGTTATTTACAGACTCTCATTTTTATTGCAATCCTCCGAAGTAAACATGGTGGGAAATATTTTAGCTACCTGGTGACACAAAAGATAAACTAAAAAAAAGCCAAACACACAATTAAAATTTTGTTGTTAGAAAAAAAAAATGTAGCTTTAGGTCCTTAAGGTATTATCGAAGGTTAATTTTGAAAAAGCATGAAAAAGAAACTTCCCCCACAACCTTGTAAAATTCAGAATATCTTTTTTTTTTTTTTTTTAAAGATCTTATTTATTTAACACAGAGAGAGAGAGAGCGAGGGCAGGAACACAAGCAGGGGCAGTGGGAGAGGGAGAAGCAGGCTTCCCACGGAGCAGGGAGCCCGATGTGGGACTTGATCCCAGGACCCTGGGATCATGACCTGAGCCAAAGGCAGACCAAATTCAGAATATCTTAAAAACATAATCAAAATTAATGTCATCACATTTATATAAAAATAAAACTATAGGGGCACCTGGGTGGCTCAGTTGGTTAGGCATCCAACTCTTGATTTTGGCTCAGGTATTGATCTCAGGGTCATGGGTTCAAGCCCCAAATTGGGCTCCACACTGGGCATGAAGTCTACTTAAAAAATAAATAAATAAATAAAAATAAAATTTTAAACGATTTTATTTCTTTAAGAGGGACTTCAACAACTCAAATTATTATTTTTTTTAAAGATTTTATTTATTTATTTGAGAGAGAGAGA